CCAACCAGACTTTCTTCTCACCGCAGCAGCGGAGGACGCTAGAGGTGAGCCTCGTCTGAAGCCTGAGCATCCTCATGGCTGCGGCCGCAGCGCCGAAAGTCACACATATCTTATTCTGAAGCAAAAAACCAAAACGGGCAAAAACACCCGGTGGGCTGGATAAATGTCCTCAGCGGGGCCGCATGTGGCCCGCGGGCCATAGTTTGAGGACGCCTGGGTTAGGCATTGCACTGCTAATCACAAGGTCAGGATCAGCCGCTGGAAACCACCAGCCTCTTTGAGGGTGAAAGCCAAGGCTTCGTAGTTCCAAAAAGAGTTACAGTCTGGGAGGCCCACGGGGGCAGCGCTACCCTGCCCTACAGAATCTCCATGAGGTGGAATTGACTTAAAGGCAGTGAGTTTGGGGATTCTTTATGGAAGCAGACTGCTTTCTCTGTTGTCGGCTGAGTGGTTGATAGGTCCTAACTGATGACATTTCCAGTAGCAGATAACTGTTTAAATCATTTCAGCACCCAGAGAGCTCCTTTAGGAAATTTCGGAATTAAAACAAATTCTCTACTTTACAGAGAAGAAAACTGGCATTTAAATGAGGGGGAAATGTGTTCAAAATTAAAACTTGTTCAGTAAATAAATGACAAGCAGCCAGTAAAGAAAAATATAAATCAAGAATAATAGATATTACAGAGGAACTATTATAGACATTTCAAAAATGAAAGTGGTTGAAAAGAAATTTTAAATCATAGAGAGCATAAATTCTAGAATAGATAAATTTGAAACTTAACAATATGTTACATAGTGTTTTCAAAACAACAGACCAGACATATTATAGTACGATAAAATTACAGTTAAAAATTTCTAGAATTAAGAAAGAAGATTCTTTAGATAAAAGCACTTTCTTAATTTCTAGCAAATAGATCAATTCACACTAAGGCATTATTGTCATTGTTGTGAAGTTATATAAAATAAAATAAAAGGGGGGAAAAAGTCTTATCAGAGAGCTATGGGATATTTTTTAAAGTCTCGGGAAATATTGGTCAAGTGAGAATGTTATAACTGTCTGAGATGTAATTCATGAGTGAAAGTGAAAAGAAGGGATTATCATGAATACTGACTAAGCAAATTCATTATTGATCAGCCTTAACACACATAAACATACATCCAGAATAACAATTGATGTTGTTAAGAAGAAAATTCAGAAGGACAAAGATTGAAACACATACACACACAAAAATTAAAATCACACGCATGCATATTTAAAATCTGGGTATATTTAATTGGTATCTGAAAACAATAAATAAGGGAGCATATAATTACAGAAAAAAGTAGAACTAGTCAAATTGGTGAGAAGGGTGGTGATGTTTATGAGGTAAGAAAATGCACTAAGGGCTGTTCAAACAGAAAATAAATATTTAGAAAATAATGACGGCAACCTATGTACAAATATGCTTAATACAATTGATGTATGGATTGTTATAAGAGATGTTTAAGTGCCCCCAATAAAATGATCTCTTAATAAAAAAAAAGAAATACAGAAACAAAATCTTTTCAGTAAACTATATAATTATATATGTGCAAACTATATGTAGAAGAACATACAGAATTCTAGAAAGACTCATCAACAAGCTGCAATATACAGATGGCAGAACCTTGCTTGGTGGAATAGAACCAGACAACGATGAGCATCTAAAGATGAAGATCAAAGATTGCAATATGGCTTTCATCTGAGCACAGATCTTCACAACTAGACTCACAATAACCTTATAATAAAAGAAGAAGAAATTAAAATTGTCAAGGGTTATACTCTACTTGGATCGACACTCAATGCTAATGGATGCAACAGTCAAAAAATCAAGCCTGGGCAAGCCTGCTGCAGAGGACCTTTTAAAAAGGTCCTTTAAAGCTTGTTATCACTTGATAACTACATTCTGCCTGCCCGAGGCCCTGGCAATTTCAGTGCCCTCGTCTGCTCTTGAAAACTGGACATTGAAAATAAAAGACCATAAAATAACTGACACATTAGAATTGTGTTAAAAACCATGTTTTTGGAATGTACCATGCATTTGGGGGTGGTGGGGAGAACAAATAAATCAGTCCTGGAGTAACTACTACCAGAATACTTCTGAGAATGAATGCGGATGGACAAGACATCAGAAGGATTAATTACTAGAGATGACACCATTATTAATTGAAGGCCAGCAAAAAAGGGGGGAAACTCTATGAAACGGATTAACACAGTGGCTACAAATATCAACAATTGTGAGGATTCTGTAATACATAAGGTTTCTATGACTTGGACCTGACTGATTGGCAACTAACAACGTGTTTTCAAAATTATGGGTATTACTACAGAAATAGAAATAACCTAAGTTTAAAAACTAGCAGAATAATTAAAAAATAATAATATAGGGGTGTGGGGGACTTCAATAATGCTGAAGAAAAAAAATGAAAAGAGAAGCTTAAAAGATAGCACGCACATGTGTAAACACACAAACACATACTCGCCTGCACACACTATGAAAACTACCATGATAAAACTAAATCCATGTGCAACAGCAAACCTAATAAATACATATATAAACTGAAAATATGCATGTATAAATTAAACCCACCTACTAAAACTCAGATTTTTTTAGAGTGGATCCTGTAACTCTAGCTGTGTACTATATAAGAGTCACTCTGTCATTACCACTTCCTTCTCCTATTTCTGAGGAAGGGACGGAGAATCAAAAACAACACGGGGAATTAATTTGTAGTTTATATATGAATCGAAACCAGGCAAATGACAACAGGGATATGACTCCATTTGTGAGTCTCAGATTCTCAGTGTGTTCTTTAGAACCTTTTCAAACTTCTCCAGTGCACTGGGTTGCAATAGAGGTAATAAGTGTTTAGGGAAATCTCTAATTTATGCTAATTGTACTCTCCTTGCCCCTAAATTTCAAGATGTGTTGACCGTGATAACATATCAGTAGAAGTGCCTTCCTCCCCTCAAATGCCAGGCATATTTGCCTTGGAAAGCCTACTGTCCCTCCCTTCTCAGGTTAGTGGGTTAATGGAAACTGATCATCGTTGCTAAATTTCAAGTGGTACCAAACATAAGTCATATTTGCTATATCTTAGATGCACTTAAGCCTGGTCTCCCAGCGACTCTCTGCTCCTCACACACACCCTAGTCCTGGCCTTTGTTGATAACACCCTTATGCTGTTTTACATGAAATAGAAAATTGCTTTTCAAATTACTTCAAGCCTTAATGCACAAGAAAAACATCTCAGGAAATGTGCTGACAGCCTGTTTATACCTTGCCACAAGCTCCCTGCTAAAGAAGACCTCACAGACAAGAAGCATTACAGGTGTGATTGCAGCAAAGTGTCTTTGAGGTCAGCCTTCTTAGGGCCTTTAGAGAAGTCATGGTGGTTCAATGGGACAAGCACTGGGCTGCTACTCAAAGGTTTCTGGCTTGAATCAACTAGCCAATGTCTGCTTCCATGAATATTTACACCCTATAGAATGGTCCTCCTTTATCCTATAGGGTCTCTATGAGCTGGAATTGACTCAAGGGCGTTGGGTTAGTCCTTTAACAAAATCTTTACACAAACAGTCTCTATTTAGAATAAAATGTTAGCATTTCCAAAAGAGGTTTAATTTTGAACTATGCCAGTGATGCTAAGGTCGCTCTTGGCTGCATCAAGGTACCACAAGCACAGGAAATCATTCATATTCTTGATTTCAGACAACTCGGGTTTGAATGAAGAAGAGGATTAAATATCCAGGCCGACAGAACAGATAATTAAGTGGGTGATTATTTTACTGGCTTTACAAAAATGTTAGTTCTATTTTTTTTTTTAATTCTCCACAGCAAAATTCTCTACTTAAAAATTTCTTAAAACGACTTTGCATGAGTTCAAAGACCCTTTATCTTAACCCTAGTTGTAAGCAACGAGGTAAGAAGGTATTTCTGTCTCTGAAAGGCGGCAGAGGGACAGCCAGGCCCCTCTTCCATTAGTGGAAACACACACACAGGTTCCTACCCATTGTCCCCTCCTTCCAGCTCCATAGTCAGACTTCAGCCTTTTTCATCTTCTTGGACCTCCGAATACCAATTCAAGTCAAGTGATCTTAATTCCACAGCTTTTGTAAAATTATAGCATACACTCTACCCTTTTCAGTACAACAGAGGTTATACAGACTACATTTCATGGCTGATTAAGTCCTGAAATCAATATTCATCACTGATTAAGTCCTGAAATCAATATTATACTAAGATTATCTCGATGGTTTAGTTTTTGTTATACTGAAAAAAAAGTTTTGGAATAATTTAGCTCACTGGAATTATCCAAAGCAACAATAATTTATCATTATTTTTATTACATCTAAATAATAACTACAGTGCAACTAAAAGTCAAATATCCCAGCCACAAAGACATCTCTCATACTATAAATTGACATACCTTGGAAATAACCGGTTGCCTGAGAATATGGCATATTAGTTACTACACATGCTTATTAAATGCATACCAAAAATAATGTGTTCTGAAAGACCTTTCTGTCCAATGCAGCAGAGAAGACCCTCAGACAATCTGAAGACTTTCTCTTCCCAAACCAGCTTCTGTACTTGAAAGAGAAGTGAAGGGAGAAAGGAGGAATTCCTCACATCTTGAGTGACCAAAAGACACAATGCAGAGGAGCATGTGGTTGCTTGACAAAGCGAAATTTTATTACACGGAGAATTCCTGACTCTTTCTCATTCAACAGGACACGTGCTTAACATTCCAAATTAGAACACAATCAAAATAATTCTGGAAAACTGGGTAATTCTAAGAGTAAGCTTTATTAGTTCCGAAAATAGAAATTATTTCACCCTGCAATTTTCTTCCCTTACAGAACTGTTACTTCATCATCTTTCAATGCCAGGTCAAAAGTGAAAGCGCGTGTGCATCGGCTTGCTCATCTTCTCTCCACACGCACACACGCGCATGCACACATACTGCAAGGTACTTACTGAGCTGTAGAGATAGCCTTCACCATTCATGGCCACATAGAGGCTGGCCTTCACCCCTTGGATGGCCACCACACGCAGGCCCACAGGAATTAAATTGAAGAGAGCTGGATGAGCAAAACAGGTGACAGAAAAGAAAAAATCGGTGACGTTATGAATAAAGAAGCTTCCTTGTTAATATCACTCTTTCATAATTAAACTCTAGCAATTTAAATTGGTGGAAAAGAGGAAGCGAGTGACAAAAGACCAACATTGAGAACTGGCTTCTAGTCTTTGCAACACCACTGATTACCTGTATTTCCCAGAAACCCTCCACTCCTGTTCTGTTCTATGTGATACTAGATTAAAGAGGCTCTAAGGCCCTCGTCTGTATCTGAGATTCTAGAACCCCTGTTCCACCCAGTGCAATATAAAATATTGTTTTAAACAATTGGTTTTAAAAATTCTCAATGTACCGAACCTATTTCTAGCCCTCATTAATAATAAAACATCTCTGTAGAACCTGCCAGAACTTTTCCAGTCCTTCCCTCATGGTTCTGAGCACTGTCTTGAGCGCATTCAAAGCAAAATCCGTAACTCACTGGGGCAGCCTGGGGCCTGGGTCGCAGGAGAATTTTTCTCTTGATATTTCACTTTTTACATGTGAAGTGCAGGCAGAAAAATAAACAATAGGTGATTGATAGACAGCTTAAACTATAACATGTATATATGAATATATTTGAACACGCTTTACATTTAAATTTGGTGAATTTAATTCAACATCCAAAAATGAAAAGGGGAAATGTTTGTACTCTGAAATATCTGGCTTGACCCTAACAGAAAATATCCATCCATCTGAATGCCCTCTTGGAGAAGGAATTTTGCACTAAAGAGTAGGCAACTGAGATCGTCTTCTATTTCCCTTACAACAGTGAATTGTTATGAATAATATATTCTTGTTGCTAATCTAGTAATTGTTTCATGACTGTATGCATCACAAATTATCACTGCCATTCACTTCAGCCACCTGAGCTAGGAGTTCTTGCTCATCTTCTCTCTATAGAAAAAAATTCCTGTCAGTTCTGATCACCTTCTTAGTTTTGACTATAAGATTATGGAAACTTATTCCACAGTTATTCTTAATAAGGAATACCTCTACTTTTTCTGAGCATTTCTCAACCAAGAATAGTGAGCTAAACACACACCACAGATGCACATACATATTAAATGACACAAAACAAAGCTTTCATTAATATTCAAATGGTAGTTATTATACTAGAACAAACCTTAGAGCAAAATTCCATTCTAGCTGATAGGCATCCTGAAAGTTATTTTTTCATTTATCATAAAACTTCAAACTGAAGCTTAGTAGAAGCTTATGAACTGATTCCTGGCTCAGTTTGAAGGTGAACTATGTCTTTGTTCTGAGCATGCTCCCAGACTGTCCTTGTGATACTAAAATAACCCAGGAAGGATCAGACCTTAAAGTCTAGTTGGGGAGCAGAAGCTAAAACATATGGAATAATCTGAACAGTATCTGGTTGAATTCTATAATCAGATGTAATATATGCACTCTCTTTCTCTCTCTCAAACTCACTTCCACTGAGGCTGGGCCAACTCACAGACATCTCCACATGGTCCATAGGAAGTGAGCCATGTCAAGATTTGAACAACAGTATATGACACAAAAGTGGGAAAAGTTGCAGACAACATGGTTTCTAAACTCAATGGTTTTGAGCCATATAGTAAACCTCTTTTAGTTTTTCCCATCTATAAAGGAGGCACACATTAAAAGAAGGATCAGAGTCATTATCATGTTTTTAAAAATGTTTCAGAACCAGAGACAGGTCTTCTAAATTTGCCATTTGTCATTCTAAAAGAGTCATTTGTCTTTTATGTCTTTTTCTTCCATTTCTCAAAGCCTACCCTAGATGTGAAGCAAAAATGGACATATTACCTCAATAATATTTAAGGAGCTCACAGTCAGTGACTTGCTTATTACTTTAAAAATAAAACTTTGGTTTTACATAACTTAATTTTTAAAGTGCTCACATGTTCATTTTTATTGTATTTGATCTGGATAATGCCAACTTTTATAATGGCTTAGGACAAAATGATTAGCCGAAGTTTTAGAAGAGCAACCGGTATGGAGGGATGGCCCAGTTGAAAATACTGACCGAAATGTAAGACTCCCTCCTCTTTTTTCTCTTTAGAGTTGAATATTCCCTAATATCTGGTCTCAGTGGCTCCCAAAGTAATAGCTATCAGCCACATTCCCTTATATACTCTGCATCTAGATGGGGCTGTGACGTGAGACTTAGCCGAAAGGGGTCGCAGAAGTGACTGTGGAAGTTTGAGGAGCCTTTCTTCCTTAATGATAATTTAAGAATGTTCAACCCTCTGCTCCAGGGCTGCTGGGTTGGGGTGGTGGTGGTGGTGGTGTCAGTTGGATGAATTATTTCAAACTGTGAAAACAAGGACTACTCCCTTAGGTATGCAGGCAAGGAGAGCTGGAAAGAATTGGTTCCCTGAGGGCTACAGGAGCAGTGCAGGCGTCCAGGAATCAAGGAACTGTATCCTACTTTTATGTGAGCGAATGAGCCCTTATCAGTTCAGTCTGTGGAGCACAGAGCCAGCTCTAATCCTCCCCTCTCCAGATTGCTATGGAAGGTGGAATAAGTATGGAAGGCACAAACTAATGTGCAAGGCACTTTTGCATACAGGTATCCTCACTACCACTACCCCACCACCACTTTCGAAAAGTGGGCTTTATGGTACGTCTCTTTTATGGAAGCTTTCTGAAGAAAGGCGAAAGTGAAACTAGCGGTCAGTGTTTGTCTGGTAGCAACCGGATAAAACTCAGAGTGGGATTACCAAGCTCCTTCCCAGGGCACTGGCTCCCCATCTCAGCATCACGCTGTCACACCTCTGACTTGTGTCCGAGAGCACTACATGGTGCTGATATTTTAAGTTTCCTGTGTCCTTCAGTGCAGTTTAGGGGATTGTTTTTTATATTCTGGGAACACTCATACAATTTGAAATATAGATGAATAATAATTGCTTTTCTGCTTTACACTATTTCTGGTTTGAAGGTTTCAAAGGAACACTGCTTTCAGATAGAAGGAAAGCCTGTATGGCAAATAGCAGCTGGGAAATATCAAGTTCAATGCTTGAGAGGAACAGTAATTAAATCCAAAATCATGCATAATGTCTTTGTAGAGCGAAGATTTCCCAGGACAACTGCTAAGAATGCTAGTTCATTTCGGTAACATAAAAGAACAAAGGCCAAGCTGTAAAGCTCTCTGTGTGAGGAAAATGAGAAAACCGCTAAACCTAGGCAAGGGGAAGGAAACACTGGTGAAAGTTTTAGATGAACCATAAGCTGGTAAATAAATTTAGATGCTATGTTTTGGAAGGCTTCATAAACAACAAAACAGAACAGCCCTGTAGGACAGGAGAGAACAGCCCACAGAGTGTTCAAGGTTGAAAATGGCGTGGGGGAGGCTGTATCTCACACTGCCTCTGGTTTTCTGATAGCCAAGAGGCAGGCTCGCCTTCACCCTACAGTTTTCTTTGCTGATTCTGACGTTAACCATTTCTCCCACAGTAGTCTATAGCTAAGCTGGATTCACCAATTCATGGCAATGGCTACACAAAACTGCTGGACAATATCACCATGAAGGGCTTTGTTAGGGAAGCTACCAGGTTACCGCAAGGCGGAATTAGCAATCTAGAAGGGTACCATCATTGGTGTGCAGCAGCACTTCTCCGCAGTCGGAAGCCAAGTCTCTCTCTGGCCCTCGGCCTCTCAGCTACTGTACCATTAGGGCTCCTTAACTGCATATCGTACCTTGCAAGATTTATACTGTGTCCTTAATTCAGAAGGTATTTGTATTTCCAATGAATATTTTTGACCATTTCCTATATTCCAAACATTGTGTTTAGGCTAGGAAAATAGTGATAAACCTAGTAGGCACAACTCCTTTCTGAAGGTCTCTCCCTCTGTTCTGTCCTACAACTTGAAAGCACTGGACACTTTTATTTTATTTTTTTAAAGTAGTGACAAATTATATTTTAATTCAAGGTAGAAATATTTTACAAAACAATTTTTGCTAATATCCATATAAGAAATATTACATGTAAGTTATTTACAACTATATTTATCACACTTTTATTTTTCATTCTCAGTGCCTAGCACGGCATCTGGGCCTTAGAAGTTGCTACACAATCTTCCCTGAATAAATAAATGATGAGCTGTTGTTTCTCTTTAAGGTTACTTATTCAGAGTTTTTCTAGGTCCTATTTCCATAATTAAGGATTTTAAAAAATGAAGATAATATTTACCATGTATAACCAATAGAACATTTAATTTAAATCTGAAATCTGAAGAAAAAGCCAGAAAACCCTCATGGTGAACAGTCTTACGTGGAGCTGGGGTGTTTGGAGAAGGCTGAAGAATGAAGTGGATAAGAAGCCTGTTACAACATAGACGTCATATTAAATTGTACTGGGTCAAAGGGGTGGGGGTGGGGGGAAGCGCTTTGTAAAAGTACTATGTTCTTCTTCATGTCATTTGTACCAGATTGTTTCAGGGACAAAGGGGCCACAATTCATCTAAAGCACATCAGAAAGCACTCAGGGTTATAATCAATGGAATTGCAAAGAAGAAAGAAAGGTAAAAAGAGTAGCAAAACAAAAAACAATGACAAATTCAATGTTATAAGCTGTTATTCTAGACTTTTCCTATAACTTCCAAGGGTAGAATCCATATTGATTGTAATGATGGAAAGATTTATATCATAAAATGGTGCAGTTGAAAGTTAACATTCATTGGTTAATTCTTTTTTTTTTTTTTCTTTTTTAACATTTTATTAGGGGCTCATACAACTGTTATCCCAATCCATACACACATCAATTGTGTAAAGCGCATTTGTACATCATTTCTCAAAACATTTTCTCTCCATTTAAACCCCCGACATTAGGTCCTCATTTTTTCCCTCCCTCCCCGCTCCCCCCTCCTGCATGAGCCCTTGATAGTTTATAAATGGGTATTTTGTCATATCTTGCCCTGTCTGACGTCTCCCTTCATCCACTTTTCGGTTGTCTGTCCCCCAGGGAGGAGGTCACC